CAAAAAGTGAATTGCTTTGCCACATTTTTTGCAGTATTACTTTAGTGCCTTACTGCAAACAGGATGCATGTTTTGGAGAAAAAATTATCCATCCTCAGTTCTCTTATCACAGCCAATAAACTCTGTAACTGTTTTAAAGTCACCATTGGCCTCATGGTGAAATCCCTGAGTGGTTTCCTTCCTCTCCGCCAACTGAGTTAGGAAGGACGCCTGTATCTTTGTAGTGACTGGGTGTATTGATGCACTATCCAAAGAGTAATTAATAACTTCACTATGCTCAAAGGGATATTCAATGTCTGATTTTTACATTTTTACCCATCTACCAATAGGTGCCCTTCTTTGCGAGGCATTGGAAAACCTTCCTGTCTAGGGTTTAGATAATTTTTGCTATTTACAAGGTTGCTGCAATACTTTGTATCAGTTGGATTGTGGAATGTGTGTGTGTGTGTGTGACCCCAAAACATTCCTCCGGGTTCCTCAGGGCTGGTATTGACCTAGAGCCAAAAATCTTTTTGTGAAATATCTGGCTGCAACCCTCCTCCACGTGCACGCGCACACACACACACACACACACACGATACACCCCCTCAGTGGAAATACAGAGCGTATCCAGCTAGTGTATCTGAAGTCATTCTGGGTCAAAACACTGCTCTAACTTTAACACCCTGTTCCCAGTGTGTGTAGGGCCGGCCCTAGGCATAAGCAACATAAGCGGCTGCTAGGGGGGCCTGGCTGCTAGGGGGGCCCGGCTGCTAGGGGGCTTCTAGGGGGGCCCAGCTGCTAGGGGGCTGCTAAGGGGGCCCGGCTGCTAGGGGGCTGCTAGGGGCTGCTAGGGGGGCCCGGACTGCTAGGGGGGCTGCTAGGGGGCCCGGCTGCATAGGGGCTGCTAGGGGGGCCCGGCTGCTAGGGGGCTGCTAGGGGGGCCCGGCTGCTAGGGGCTGCTAGGGGGACTGCTAGGGGGGCCGGCTGCTAGGGGGCTGTAGGGGGGCCCGGCTGCTAGGGGGCTGTAGGGGGGCCCGGCTGCTAGGGGGCTGCTAGGGGGGCCCGGTGTAGGGGGCTGCTAGGGGGGCCTCGGCTGCTAGGGGGCTGCTAGGGGGGCCTCGGCTGCTAGGGGGCTGCTAGGGGGCTGATAGGGGGGCTTGCTAGGGGGCTGCTAGGGGGCTGCTAGGGGGGCCCGGCTGCTAGGGGGCTGCTAGGGGGCTGCTAGGGGGCCCGGCTGCTAGGGGGCTGCTAGGGGGGCCCGGCTGCTAGGGGGCTGCTAGGGGGGCCCGCTGCTAGGGGCGCTAGGGGGCCCGGCTGCTAGGGGGCCTCGGCAGCTAGGGGGGCCCCCAAGATTTTTAGGAGCGTCACTCCAAAATTTAAAAACCTGTTTTCGCTTTTTCATTAAGGAGATTTATAATTTTTTTAATGCATTTTAGAATAAGGCTGTAACATAAAAATGTGGAAAAAGTCAAGGGGTCTGAATACTTTCCGAAGGCACTGTACATGTAGGTAGGGGTAAAGTGACTATACATAGATAATAAACAGAGAGTAGCAGCAGTGTAAAAAAAGGGGGGGCTGTCAATGCAAATAGTCCAGGTAGCCATAATTAATTGTTCAGCAGTCTTATGCTTGGGGGTAGAAGCTGTTGAGAAGCCTTTTGGACCTAGACTTGACGCTCCGGTACCGCTTGCCGTGCGGTAGCAGAGAGAACAGTCTATGACTAGGGTGGCTGGAGTCTTTGACAATTTTTAGGGTCTTCCTCTGACACCGCCTGGTATAGAGGTCCTGGATGGCAGGAAGCTTAGCCCCAGTGATGTACTGGGCCGTACGCACTACCCTCTGTAGTGCCTTGTGTCATCGGTGATGCAACCGGTCAGGATGCTCTCGATGATGCAGCTGTAGAACTTTTTGAGGATCTGAGGACCCATGCCAAATATTTTCAGTCTCCTGAGAGGGAATAGGCTTTGTCATGCCCTCTTCACGACTGTCTTGGTGTGTTTGGACCATGATAGTTTGTTGGTGATGTGGACACCAAGGAACCTGAAGCTCTCAACCTGTTCCACTACAGCCCCGTGGACGTCATGGATGTCCCTAAGATGAACCACACTGAATGTGGCATTGATATCTAAACAACAACGAAACTATTAACAACTCGTTCTTTGCAAATGTAATGCTAATGTTCAAAACCATCTGGAATCATCTTCTCCTCATGAACCACATGTCAGATTCACAAAGAAATATAGTTTCTACCTGATAGAGCGCTTTCTTTGTCGTCCAACTGATCTCGTGTTTCTGTGAACTACGTCTCTTGTCGACCATTTTAATATTAAACAATCACAGTAAGGTAAGGTACTTAATTGTTACCCAGAAATGATTTGATATTGAGATAAAAACGGCTGCGTTGGACGTTTTAAAACGTCAATATTTTCTCTCCGCTGTCAAGAGGGGGGGCCACTAAAAATATTTCGCCTGCAAGGTTGGTGGGCACAAAGCGGCAGCAGGTAGCTTAGTGGTTAAGAGCGTTGTGCCAGTAACCGAAAGGTCGCTGGTTCTAATCCCCGAGCCGACTAGGTGAATAATCTGCCGATGTGCCCTTGAGCAAGGCACTTAACCCTAATTGCTCCTGTAAGTCGCTCTGGATAAGAGCGTCTGATAAATGACTAAAATGTAAATGTAAAATTAGGAAATAATTACCCAATAATAACCCCAGCACTACCCACCCCCTGGTGTGGGCTCTGATAGCCTGTCCACATCAGAACCAGGGTCCACATAATACAACACAACTAGAGTAGGCCATCATGGATGCAGCGACTCTGTTATGAACAGCAGAACCCTGTGAGAATAAAGAGCTGTTTTGTTTTTGCAGCACAATAGAGGAACTCTGAGCCAAATGTTATTCTGCATGCTGCCTTTGAGCTCAGTCAATTAACCAGCCTGCTAGAGGACCAGCCGACCAGCCGCACACACACACACACACACACACACACAGGCACACACACACACACACACACACACAACACACACACACACACACACACACACACACACACACACACACACACACACACACACACACACACACACACACACACACACACACACACACACACACACACACACACACACACACACACACACACAGGCACACACACACACACACACACACACACACACACGAGGAATTAGGACCATGAAAACATGAAACAAAAGCATCTCAATAGATTGATATCATTAGAGACATGTGAATGATAACTGGGTCATTCAGGTGAATATCAGAGGCTTTAACCCCTGAGAGCATAAACCTTGAGGGGTTTCTACTTCTCTAGCTAACACATATTAAACACATTTCATTGTTTTAAAATGGTCATACTATGGATCGTTTAGCTATTTGATTCAGATTTTTATGACCCCTGAAGGTGTAAAAAATATTTTTTTTTACATTATTTGATGAAATTGCATTTGTCCTTACTGCTTATAGCCCATAGAAATAAAAAAAAGATACAAACAGACAGTCCAAAAATAAATCAAAAGGAAGTATGTTTTGAAGTGTCTGTCCTATATCTGAACACTCAGGAATGTATACATTAGTAAAAATATATATATACTGTGTAATGACCATATACATTTGACGTGGAAATGCCCTACTCACTTCCGTTCATTTTTCAGCCCAGTATGAGGTTCCCTTCAGATGAGTCTTGTGGGTCTTGTGGGGGTCATTTACATTTAAGTCATTTAGCAGACGTGGGAATCGAACCCACAACCCTGGCGTTGCAAACGCCATGCTCTACCAACTGAGCTACATGGGACTAGAGGTGTCGTACAGCAAAACAACATATATGTGTTTGTGAGAGTCTCACCTTTCAATGGTGGGGTCATATTAGCGTGTAGCCCAAACCGTTTGGACGCTACAGACAGGAAGTTGGCAGATCAGCGGTCCCAACTTTAGACGAGTCGCATGTAGCTTCTGGGGATCTTAGAGCAAAACGTAGAAACTTAGAACATCATCGTGTTCGTGAGTCTCAGCTTTTCATAATGTCTCAGCTTTCCATGTTAGTTTCTAGCCCAAACTGTTCGGGAAAACCGATTTTCGGGATGTCTCCTGGGCTGACAAACACACTTAGTGTTTTAAAGTACTTTAAGTACAAATACTTTAAAGTACTACTTAAGTAATACTTTACTATTTATAGTTTTGACAACTTTTGCTTTTACTTCACTACATTCCTAAAGAAAATATACTTTTTGCTCCATAAATGTTCCCTGACACCCAAAAGCACTTGTTACATTTTGAATACTTAACAGGACAGGAATATTGTCCAATTCGCACACTTATCAAGACAACATCCCTGGTCATCTGATCTGGTGGACTCACTAAACAAAAATGCTTCGTCTGTGAATGAGTGGCTATCCGTAAATAAATAAATAAAATACTGAAAATGGTGCCGTCTGGTTTGCTTAATATAAGGAATTTGAAATGATTTATACTTTTACTTTTGATACTGAAGTATATTTAAAACCAAATACCTTTAGACTTTTACTCAAGTAGTATTTTACTGGGTGACTTCTACTTTCACTAGTAGCAGCTGACTGTTAGTTCATTAGTAGTTTACTAGGTCAGAGCAGCTGACTGTTAAGATAATTGAATACAGATCAAAGTGTGTCCTAAAGGGCTGTTGTTGACCTCTCCTCAGACACTCTGCTGTTTCAGACCCTGGGTGGGTCCTACAGGGCTGTTATTGACCTCTCCTCAGACACTCTGCTGTTTCAGACCCTGGGTGGGTCCTAAAGGGCTGTTATCCTCATGCTGCTGACCAGGGCCGGCCCGCCCATCATACAGGTTTAGGTGGGCACCAAGTGCGGCAGATTGTCGAGGGCAGCATTTTTATCCCAAGCTAAACTGACAAAGACGCACCTCCAACAACACATGAAGCCTCACATAATATCCAGTCAACCCGTGTTTTTGCTGATTGACAGTTTGTGTTTGTTTTACATTTCAGATCAACACCAATGGGTTCGTTGCCATGGCAGAGCCTAGCGCTGAGTCCACATACCTCGGTAAGATGCCCGCCGGCTTCGGCATGATCGCGGTCCTGCACGGCGACCTGGATACTGGTGACGGCGTGGGTAAGGTGTACTACCGGCAGGACGCCAGCCCAGCCACCCTGCGGCAGGCTGCGGACCAGATCAACAGGGCTTTTCCAGAGGACGATGAGGTGAGAGAGAGAAAGAATGGACAGAGAGAAAGAGAGAGAGAGAGAGAGAGTTAATGGACAGAGAGAGAGAAAATGGGCAGAGAAAGATAATGGAGAGAGAGAGAGAGAGACATTTGTTTTACTTTAACCAAGACATTGTACAACTGGCAATAAGCTGAATTGCGAGTACAATTTACATTGTAAAAATATTCCACTAAAACACTATAAACAAAATACATACTGTAGGTCATAAGCAATGAATGAAATTAAAGTAGCTGTTACTTGTTTTTACTAGGTGGAGCCGGAACACACTGTGGTCGTCACCTGGGTAGATGTTGTCTCCAGCCAACACCATGGCCACAGCAGAGGAGACGGACTGGAGAAACAGGTGAGATCAGAATTTACCAGTCAATCAATCAATCAATCAAGTAAATGTATTAATGTGGAAAGAGAGGTTACAAAGTGCTTTAGAGTAGCCCGACCTTGACCCCAAAGAGCAAGCGGAAACAGTGAGTGACATTCTTGCGTTTGAATCCTAACAATGTAACCCTGTTGTAAGTCTCTCTCGTAACCTCTCTTTTCAACAGAGGAACAGCTTCCAGCTGGTGATAGCGTCAGCTGAGACTGCCTCCTATGCCATCCTCCTCTACCCCAGGGAGGGGCTGCAGTTTGCCTCCACAGCTGTAGGGGGCAGTAGTCAGGCCATGCAGGCTGGCTTCAGTAAAGGGCTGGTCAAGTACCTAGTGTTCACCAGACAGGGACCGTACTACCGCATCACCACCGAGAGGGAGACCTCTGTCAGGGCGCTGGCAGAGTAAGTACTGGACTTTTTATTTTCTAAATATGTATTTAACCTTTATTTTAACAAGGAAGACATATTGAGACCATAGGTCTCTTATCCAAATGCGTCCTGTATAATACAATATAAACATACACATTATACAAAAAATATATACCCTGAGTATATGACATAGACTGACCAGGTGAATCCAAGGGAAAGCTATGATCCCTTATTGATGTCACTTGTTAAATCCACTTCAATCAGTGTAGATGAAGGGGAGGAGACAGGTTAAAGAAGGATTTTTAAGCCTTGAGACAATTGAGACATGGATTGTGTATTTGACATTTACATTTAAGTAATTTTGCAGACGCTCTTACAAATTGGTGCATTCAACTTAGGATAGCCAGTGGGACAACCACTTTTTTTTCCTTTTTTTGGGGGGGGGGGGGGGGGGGGGGTAGAAGGATTACTGTTATACTATTCCAGGTATTCCTTAAAGAGGTATGTGTGCCATTCAGAGGGTGAATGGGCAAGACAAAATATTTAAGTGCCTTTGAACGAGGTATGGTAGTAGGTGCCAGGCGCACAGGTATGTGTCAAGAACTGCAACGCTGCTGGGTTTTTCACGCTCAACAGTTTCCCGTGTGTATCAAGAATGGTCCACCACACAAAGGACATCCAACCAACTCGACACAACTGTGGGAAGCATTGGAGTCAACATAGGCCAGCATGCTCCGACGAATATTATGGAGGGATCCTTACTGTTTTATATACTCAGTATATACAGTATATACAGTATATATATATATATATATATACATTAAAATACAAAAACACAGTCATGGTAAGCACAAATAAAACATCACATATCGCCCAGAAAAACAGTTATATTCCTCCACAAATAAGTCCCCAATCAATACTTCAAATTGCCCGAACAGCACCAGAACATCAAGATGAAATATATTTTACATTTTATTCCAGCAATACGGAGCATTAAAACTATAAGCTGATTTACCTCCTCGGTGGAGACCCTCAGGAGTTCACAGGAACCTCAGGAGTTAACAGGAACCTCAGGAGTTAACAGGAACCTCAGGAGTTAACAGGAACCTCAGGAGTTAACAGGAACCTCAGGAGTTCACAGGAACCTCAGGAGTTCACAGGAACCTCAGGAGTTAACAGGAACCTCAGGAGTTCACAGGAACCCCAGGAGTCTCTAGGAACCTCAGGAGTTAACAGGAACCTCAGGAGTTCACAGGAACCTCAGGAGTTAACAGGAACCTCAGGAGTTAACAGGAACCTCAGGAGTTAACAGGAACCTCAGGAGTTAACCAATCCTGGTAACGGGTTGGGCAACTCAGGAGTCTATACTTCAACAGCAAAGTTCGATAAGACAGATTTATGAAGTAGGGCCTTTGTAAACAAAAAGGGAGTAATGTAGAGATCTACGGGTCTTTAGCGAAGTCCAGCCAACCTTTTGATACAGGATGCAGTGATGAGTATCAAACTGTCACCTGTAACAGAACGAAGGGCACTATGGTAGACGGCATCCAAAGGGTTAAGAGCAGTAGCAGCTGGACTTTGATAAATAATATCACCATAATCAGGAACAGATCAAAAGGTGGACTGAATCATCTGCTTCCTTCTGCTTAGAGAAAGCTCATCTATATGTTTTTTAAATGTCAAATCCATATCAACCCAAATGCCTCAGTATTTATATACAGGAACACGTTCGATTGGAGAACCATCTCTAATGAGTCAACATGTAGCTCATCTGAAACATTCTTACGAGAGTTTAAAAACAACATGTATTTCGTTTAGCCTGTATTAAGCACAAGTTTTAAATCAGGGATTCCTGCATAGCTATCCAATCTGACTGTAGTTTTCCTGCATAGCTATACAATCTGACTGTAGTTTTCCTGCATAGCTATACAATCTGACTGTAGTTTTCCTGCATAGCTATCCAATCTGACTGTAGTTTTCCTGCATAGCTATCCAATCTGACTGTAGTTTTCCTGCATAGCTATCCAATCTGACTGTAGTTTTCCTGCATAGCTATCCAATCTGACTGTAGTTTTCCTGCATAGCTATCCAATATGACTGTAGTTTTCCTGCATAGCTATCCAATATGACTGTAGTTTTCCTGCATAGCTATCCAATCTGACTGTAGTTTTGACACAGCCAGATCAACAGTCAGGGCAATAGCATACTGTATAAAATAGTATAATTTGCATATATAAGTAGTTTACCATTTTTAACAGATGGTGTTTATATAAATAGTGAAGAGAACAGGTCCCAAAATCGACCTCTGTGGTACACCTGTATGCACTTCAAGAAATTAAGACTTAACCCCATCAATCACGATTGTCAAGGGGTGCTGAAGGTGGGTGTGGTGCATGAATCAAGCGCAGGACGCAGAAGCTCAGTCCAAAAGACTTTAGTGCAATATTCACGTAGAAAATAAGCACAATAAGCCCGAAGGCGAAATAATGGCGCACACAGGTGTCAAACAAACGGCGCACTAACATGTGCGAAAAACCTCTCCAAAACACTGGAGGGAAGTACGTAGCTCCAACACAAAACAGAAGAGCAATCACACACAAAGACAAACACACACAACGAGAACTAAATAGGACACTAACGAGGACTAACAAGACACAGGTGTACAACATCAAGACAAAACCAAACGAACATGAAACATAGATCGGTGGCAGCTAGTACTCCGGGGACGACGACCCCCGAAGCCTGCCCGAACCAGGAGGAGGAGCAGCCTCGGCCGAAACCGTGACAGTACCCCCCCCTTGACGCGCGGCCCCAGCCGTGCGCCGACCCCGGCCTCGGGGACGACCAGGAGGACGCGGAGCAGGGCGCGCGGGATGGTCCCGGTGGAACTCCGACAGGAGAGATGGGTCTAGGATGTCCCTCCGCGGCACCCAGCACCGCTCCTCCGGGCCGTACCCCTCCCAATCCACGAGATACTGGAGACCCCCCATCCGGCGTCTTGAGTCCAAGATGGACCGAACGGTGTACGCCGGAGCCCCCTCGATGTCCAGTGGGGGCGGAGGAGTCTCCCCTATCTCATTGTCCTGGAGTGGACCAGCTACCACCGGCCTGAGAAGAGACACATGGAACGAGGGATTAATATTCTTATACTCAACAGGTAGATGTAACTTATAACACACCTCGTTCAATCTTCTCAGGACTTTAAAGGGCCCCACAAACCGCCGACCCAGCTTCCGGCAGGGCAGGCGGAGGGGTAGGTTTCTGGTAGAGAGCCAGACTCGATCTCCGGGTGCGTACACCGGCCCCTCACTGCGGTGGAGATCGGCGCTCGCCTTGTGACGAAGGACGGCCCGCTGCGCACCAAGTTATACGCGTATAGTCTCTTCATGACCCCCCTGCGCACACATCCTAAGTGGTGCTGTGATCTCCCTAATCAACCCCGACCCCAACGGGCGGCTATCTAAGGCATGAACGGGAAAAGGTTTGCTGCAGGTGGACGTGGGCAGCGTTCCACGTCTCTTCCGAGCGCCTCATCCAATCATCCACCGCAGGGGCCTCGATCTGGCTCTGCTGCCAAGGTGCCAGAACCGGCTGGTAACCTAACACACATTGGAAGGGGGTTAGGTTGGTAGAGGAGTGGCAGAGAGAGTTCTGGGCCATCTCGGCCCAGGGAATGTACCGTGCCCACTCCTCCGGCCGGCCCTGGCAATACGACCTCAGAAACCTACCCACATCCTGGTTGACACGTTCTACCTGCCCGTTACTCTCCGGGTGGTACCCTGAGGTAAGGCTAACCGAGACCCCCAAACGCTCCATGAACGCTCTCCAAACACGGGAGGTAAACTGGGGGCCTCGATCAGACACTATATCCTCGGGTACCCCGTAATGCCGGAAGACGTGGGTAAATAGGGCCTCAGCGGTCTGTAGGGCAGTAGGAAGACCCGACATAGGGAGAAGGCGACAGGCCTTAGAGAACCGGTCCACAACGACCAGGATGGTGGTATTCCCCTGAGAGAGGGGAAGGTCTGTCAAAAAATCCACCGAGAGGTGGGACCATGGTCGTTGTGGAACGGGCAGGGGTTGTAACTTACCCCTGGGCAGATGTCGGGGCGCCTTACACTGGGCGCACACCGAACAGGAGGAGACATAAACCCTCACATCCCTAGCCAAAGTGGGCCACCAGTATTTAGTGCTAAGGCAATGCACTGTCCGGCCAATACCCGGATGTCCAGAGGAGGGTGACGTGTGAGCCCAGTAAATGAGTCGATCCCGAATCTCGAGCGGAACGTACTTCCGACCCTCAGGACACTGTGGAGGGCTGGGGTCGGTACGCAACGCTCGCTCGATTTCGGCATCGACCTCCCACACCACCGGTGCCACAAGGCAAGACTCCGGTAGTATGGGAGTGGGCTCAACGGACCTCTCCTCCGTGTCATACCGCCGGGACAGCGCATTTGCCTTACCATTCTGGGACCCAGGGATGTACGTGATTTTAAATACGAACCTGGTGAGAAACATACTCCATCGAGCCTGGCGAGGGTTCAGTCTCCTCGCTGCCCGGATGTACTCCAGGTTCCGATGGTCAGTCAAAATGAGGAAAGGGTGTTGAGCCCCCTCAAGCCAATGCCTCCACACCTTAAGGGCTTGAACTACAGCTAACAGCTCCCTGTCCCCAACGTCATAGTTACGCTCCGCCGGGCTGAGCTTTTTTGAGTAAAAAGCACAGGGGCGGAGTTTAGGTGGCGTGCCGGACCGTTGAGAGAGAACGGCCCCTATACCAGCCTCAGACGCGTCTACCTCAACCTGAAAGGGTAATGCGGGATCCGGATGCGCCAGCACCGGAGCCGAAGTAAACAGGTCCTTCAGTCTCCTAAAGGCCCTGTCCGCATCAGCTGACCACTGCAGGCGCACCGGACCCCCTTTCAGAAGGGACGTGATGGGAGCTGCCACCTGTCCAAAACCCCGGATAAACCTCCGGTAGTAATTCGCAAAGCCCAAGAACTGCTGCACCTCTTTTACAGTGGTTGGAGTTTGCCAATTACGCACAGCGGACACACGATCCACCTCCATTCTCACCCCTGACGCGGACAACCGATAACCCAAAAAGGAGACCGACTCCTGGAAAAACAGACATTTCTCTGCCTTGACATATAGGTCGTGCTCCAACAGCCTCCTCAATACACGACGCACCAGGGTTATATGCTCGGGTAGACGAGTACACCAGAATATCATCAATGTACACGACCACCCCTTGTCCCTGCATATCCCGGAAAATGTAATCTACGAAGGATTGGAAGACTGATGGAGCATTCATCAACCCATATGGCATGACGAGATATTCGAAATGACCTGACGTGGTACTAAACGCTGTCTTCCATTCGTCGCCCTCCCTAATGCGCACCAAGTTATACGCGCTCCTGAGATCCAATTTTGTGAAAAACCGCGCTCCATGCAATGACTCTGTCATGGTCGCAATCAGAGGGAGTGGATAACTGTATTTCACAGTAATCTGATTGAGACCACGGTAATCAATGCACGGGCGCAACCCTCCATCTTTCTTCTTCACAAAAAAGAAACTCGAGGAGGCGGGAGAAGTGGAGGGCCGAATGTATCCCTGTCTCAAAGATTCGGCTATGTAAGTCTCCATAGCTTTTCTCTCCTCTTGAGACAAAGGATACACGTGGCTCCGTGGGAGCGCTGCTCCTGCCTGGAGATCAATCGCACAATCCCCCTGTCTATGAGGAGGCAACTGCGTCGCCCTAGTTTTACTAAACACGAGAGCTAAATCCCCATATTCAGGCGGAATGTGCAGTGCGGGCACTTGGTTTGGACTTTCCACCGAAGTCGCCCCCACGGAAACACCCAGACATCGCCCCTCGCACTGAGCAGACCACCCATCGAGAGCCCTCTGTTGCCACGAAATAGCAGGGTTATGGGTGCTTAACCAGGGAATTCCCAGCACCACTGGGTACGCAGGAGAGTCGATCAGATACAGCTGTATAGTCTCTTCATGACCCCCCTGCGCACACATCCTAAGTGGTGCTGTGATCTCCCTAATCAACCCCGACCCCAACGGGCGGCTATCTAAGGCATGAACGGGAAAAGGTTTGTCAACAGGTAGGAGAGGGATCCCTAAATCTAAACAAAACTTCCGATCAACAAAATTCCCAGCTGCGCCTGAATCTACTAGCGCCTTATGCTGGGAATGAGGTGCAACCTGTGGAAAACACACAGGTATACAAAAGTGCGCAACAGAAAGCTCTGGGTAAGTGGGACGTCTACTCACCTGGGAGGCCCCCCCAGTGCGTGGCCTGTTGTCTTCTCCCCCGGAGAACCCTCCCCAGCACCTGGCCGCAGTGTGCCCTCCACGACCGCACTTGGTGCAGGAGACAGGCCCCCTCGGGCTCCTCCTCCTCCTTTCTCTAGCGCCGGCACCCCCGAGCTCCATAGGGCTCGGCTCGGAGGTGCCGGAGGGCGGAATGGACGGACCCCCCTCGGGACGTCCACGGGTGGCCAGCAGGGTGTCCAGACGGATGGACATATCGACCAACTGGTCGAATGTGAGATGGGTATCCCTGCAGGCCAACTCACGTTGAACGTCCTCCCGTAGGCTACATCGAAAATGGTCGATGAGGGCCCGTTCATTCCACCCTGCGTCCGCCGCTAGAGTCCGGAACTCTAGAGCAAACGCCTGTGCGCTCCTCCTCCCCTGTCTCAGGTGGACTAGACGCTCCCCCGCCGCTTTGCCCTCAGGTGGATGGCCTTGAAGCGGCGGGAGAACTCGGCGTAGGAGATGGTGTTGGCGTCCATCTTCCTCCACTCGGCGTTAGCCCACTCCAACGCCTTGCCCGTGAGACAGGAGATGAGGGCGGAAACGCTCTCGTGTCCCGAGGGCACCGGGTGTACAGTGGCCAGGTAGAGCTCCACCTGCAGGAGGAACCCCTGACACCCGGCAGCTGTTCCGTCATACGCCCTCGGGAGCGAGAGCCGAATCCCCCTGGGTTCCGGACCTGGGACTGGTGGACCGGCCGATGGGGTTGGCAGGGTAGGTGGAGGTGTGGCTACCCCGCTGGCCTCCCATCGGTGCAGGGTGTTGATGACGTCCTGTAGAGCGGTCCCCAGTTGTCGTATCTGGTCATCTTGGCCGCGAACATGCTCCTCGAGCGACTCAGGCGTAACTGCAGATCCTGCTGATTCCATTTGGGTGTGTGATTCTGTCAAGGGGTGCTGAAGGTGGGTGTGGTGCATGAATCAAGCGCAGGACGCAGAAGCTCAGTCCAAAAGACTTTAGTGCAATATTCACGTAGAAAATAAGCACAATAAGCCCGAAGGCGAAATAATGGCGCACACAGGCGTCAAACAAACGGCGCACTAACATGTGCGAAAAACCTCTCCAAAACACTGGAGGGAAGTACGTAGCTCCAACACAAAACAGAAGAGCAATCACACACAAAGACAAACACACACAACGAGAACTAAATAGGACACTAACGAGGACTAACAAGACACAGGTGTACAACATCAAGACAAAACCAAACGAACATGAAACATAGATCGGTGGCAGCTAGTACTCCGGGGACGACGACCGCCGAAGCCTGCCCGAATCAGGAGGAGGAGCAGCCTCGGCCGAAACCGTGACAACGATGGCCTGAGTTCTGTCACTAAGATAATCATGAAACCATGAACAGGCGTCAGAGCTCAGGCCTATTGAGGACAACTTATTCAATAAAATAACATGATCAACGGTATCAAAAGCTTTTGACAGCTTCACAAACAAAGTAGCACATTTCATTTTAGTGTCTAAAGCGTTGACAAGATCATTAACAGCTAAAGTGGTTGCTGTACTAGTGCTATGCCCAGGACTAAAGCCTGATTGGTTTACATTCAAAATACATCTCTCAGATAAAAAAGAGCAAAGCTGTACATGTACCAAGGATTCAAGAATCTTAGCTGGACAAGGAAGCCTTGAAATGGGGCGATAATGATTACGATCACTACTGTCCCCGCCCTTATGGAGTGGCTGCACAAGAGCTGATTTCCATACTTTTGGAATATTTCCTGATAACAATGTTAAATAGACATGGTGGGTTATTGAGCCAACAACTTAACACAAGGCTCTTGCAGAGTAAGTTGTGATACTTACCACGTGTCACTGAAGAACCAAGGTATCCCTGTCCCAGATCTGTTTGTGCTGTCTTGCCAACTCATGTGGTCCTTGTCAGGTGTTGGCAAGACAGCACAAACAGATCTGGGACCAGGCTAGAACAGCACAAACAGATCTGGGACCAGGCTAGAACAGCACAAACAGATCTGGGACCAGGCTAGAACAGCACAAACAGATCTGGGACCAGGCTAGAACAGCACAAACAGATCTGGAACCAGGCTAGAACAGCACAAACAGATCTGGGACCAGGCTAGAACAGCACAAACAGATCTGGGACCAGGCTAGAACAGCACAAACAGATCTGGGACCAGGCTAGAACAGCACAAACAGATCTGGGACCAGGCTAGAACAGCACAAACAGATCTGGGACCAGGGCTAGAACAGCACAAACAGATCTGGGACCAGGCTAGAACAGCACAAACAGATCTGGAACCAGGCTAGAACAGCACAAACAGATCTGGGACCAGGGCTAGAACAGCACAAACAGATCTGGGACCAAGCTAGAACAGAGGGTCTTTCGTAGCAAGACTTTGTTCCACCAATGTCTGTGAGGGAGGTCATATTTGGTTTTACCACTGAAGTACAGACATAATACTGCAGGATCAGTCAGTTCCTCTGGTGATCACTCCTCACGGTCTCTCTCCTCCTGCTCTGTCTCTCTCTAGGGAGACCAACTCAGGTAAGCGAGGCGTGTGGGTGTACGAGATTGGGACTTCTCCTTACTTCACAAGCGTGGCTCCAGGAGAGGTGACAGACCTGCCCCCAGACACAGACCTAGAGTCAAGGGTCCCGGAGGAGGCTGCCTCAGAGAGGTATCCTGGAGGAGGGCAACAGGTGAAGTATCCTCCCTACAAACCGGAGGAGGAGGTGTACCGCGAGGAGGAGCCTCACCAGGGACCTCACCACGGGGACCAGTTCACGGTCCACACGGTCCAGTACCAGCCTCAGGTGGTGGTGGTAGATGATGGAGACATCAACGTGGACGGTGGGTTCACATTGTGTGGTAGCTTGGGAAACAAGAACTTTACTTTGAATTCTAGAACTTTGTTTTAAATTCTAGAACTTTCTTTGAAATTCGAGAACTTTGTTTAGGATTTTAGAACTGTTTTAAATTCTAAAACGTTGTTTTAAAATGTTAGAACTTTTTACATTTTTTAATTCTAGATTATAATTATTTATTAATTCTAGAACTTTGTTTGAAATGCAAGAACATTGCAACCAGTTCCTTCTGATGTTTGATGTGCTAACCTTACCATGACCCGACCAGGTCCTTCTGATGTTTGATGTGCTAACCTTACCATGACCCGACCAGGTCCTTCTGATGTTTGATGTGCTAACCTTACCATGACCCGACCAGGTCCTTCTGATGTTTGATGTGCTAACCTTACCATGACCCGACCAGGTCCTTCTGATGTTTGATGTGCTAACCTTACCATGACCCGACCAGGTCCTTCTGATGTTTGATGTGCTAACCTTACCATGACCCGACCAGGTCCTTCTGATGTTTGATGTGCTAACCTTACCATGACCCGACCAGTTCCTTCTGATGTTTGATGTGCTAACCTTACCATGACCCGACCAGGTCCTTCTGATGTTTGATGTGCTAACCTTACCATGACCCGACCAGGTCCTTCTGATGTTTGATGTGCTAACCTTACCATGACCCGACCAGGTCCTTCTGATGTTTGATGTGCTAACCTTACCATGACCCGACCAGGTCCTTCTGATGGTTTGATGTGCTAACCTTACCATGACCCGACCAGTCCTTCTGATGTTTGATGTGCTAACCTACCATGACCCGACCAGGTCCTTCTGATGTTTGATGTGCTAACCTTACCATGACCCGACCAGGTCCTTCTGATGTTTGATGTGCTAACCTTACCATGACCCGACCAGGTCCTTCTGATGTTTGATGTGCTAACCTTACCATGACCCGACCAGGTCCTTCTGATGTTTGATGTGCTAACCTTACCATGACCCGACCAGGTCCTTCTGATGTTTGATGTGCTAACCTTACCATGACCCGACCAGGTCCTTCTGATGTTTGATGTGCTAACCTTACCATGACCCGACCAGGTCCTTCTGATGTTTGATGTGCTAACCTTACCATGACCCGACCAGGTCCTTCTGATGTTTGATGTGCTAACCTTACCATGACCCGACCAGGTCCTTCTGATGTTTGATGTGCTAACCTTACCATGACCCGACCAGGTCCTTCTGATGTTTGATGTGCTAACCTTACCATGACCCGACCAGGTCCTTCTGATGTTTGATGTGCTAACCTTACCATGACCCGACCAGGTCCTTCTGATGTTTGATGTGCTAACCTTACCATGACCCGACCAGGTCCTTCTGATGTTTGATGTGCTAACCTTACCATGACCCGACCAGGTCCTTCTGATGTTTGATGTGCTAACCTTACCATGACCCGACCAGGTCCTTCTGATGTTTGATGTGCTAACCTTACCATGACCCGACCAGGTCCTTCTGATGTTTGATGTGCTAACCTTACCATGACCCGACCAGGTCCTTCTGATGTTTGATGTGCTAACCTTACCATGACCCGACCAGGTCCTTCTGATGTTTGATGTGCTAACCTTACCATGACCCGACCAGGTCCTTCTGATGTTTGATGTGCTAACCTTACCATGACCCGACCAGGTCCTTCTGATGTTTGATGTGCTAACCTTACCATGACCAGGTCCTTCTGATGTTTGATGTGCTAACCTTACCATGACCCGACCAGGTCCTTCTGATGTTTGATGTGCTAACCTTACCATGACCCGACCAGGTCCTTCTGATGTTTGATGTGCTAACCTTACCATGACCCGACCAGGTCCTTCTGATGTTTGATGTGCTAACCTTACCATGACCCGACCATGTCCTTCTGATGTTTGATGTGCTAACCTTACCATGACCCGACCAGGTCCTTCTGATGTTTGATGTGCTAACCTTACCATGACCCGACCAGGTCCTTCTGATGTGCTAACCTTACCATGACCCGACCAGGTCCTTCTGATGTTTGATGTGCTAACCTTACCATGACCCGACCAGGTCCTTCTGATGTTTGATGTGCTAACCTTACCATGACCCGACCAGGTCCTTCTGTTGATGTGCTAACCTTACCATGACCCGACCAGGTCCTTCTGATGTTTGATGTGCTAACCTTACCATGACCCGACCAGGTCCTTCTGATGTTTGATGTGCTAACCTTACCATGACCCGACCAGGTCCTTCTGATGTTTGATGTGCTAACCTTACCATGACCCGACCAGGTCCTTCTGATGTGCTAACCTTACCATGACCTTCTCCTCTTACAGTGTTCTCCTACAACTCTGAGACTTGTGCCAACAACAGGAAGAAGTGTTCCACCTTCGCCGACTGTAAAGATTACGCCAGCGGTTACTGTTGTCACTGTCGGCTCGGCTACTACGGCAACGGAATACAGTGTGTTTCAGAGGGTAAGTCCCCAATTTTCCTCAACTCCGTAGCTACTTCTTTTTCTACTTTTTTGAACCAAAACTAAATTATCACTCAGCAAATTATCTATATGAAAATCAAAAGGGTGTGGCAATGATCATAATTGTGATCATGTAATTCACTCTGGATAGAGCGTCTGCTAAATGGTTAATATGTGAGTGGTAACTCATTGCTAGCTTGTCAATTCAATTATAACTAGCCAGTCATCAGACAACCGCAGAGCGACTCTTTCCCAGACTTGTTGCTGTTCTGTCTATCAGGGAAGTGGATTAATAAATCTGTGACAGTAGACAGTAAAGAAGTAATACATTCTTCTTCTTCTGTGTTTTATCAGGTAAGCCCCAGAGGATGAACGGCAAGGTGAACGGCAGGGTGTACGTGGGCAACTCTCCGTCTCCTGTCGAGTTCAACAGCAACGACCTGCACTCCTACGTGGTAGCCAATGACGGGCGAGCGTACGTGGCTATCAGCACCATCCCTGCCAGCCTAGGCCCCTCCCTACAGCCCCTGTCAGCCCTGGGAGGAGTCATCGGATGGGCCTTCGCCCTGCAACAGCCTGGACACAAGAACGGATTCAGCATCATCGGTGAAACCTAGTCTGCCTTGACCAGTTGCCATGGAATTGTGTGCGGTTGATTAATAAGCGAACCCAGTGGTTTTCAAACCTCTCCTCGAGGATCCCCAGGCATTTCACAATGTTGTTGTTAGCCCTGAAATAACTCACCTGATTCACCTAGTCAAGGGCTTGTTGACAAGTTGAAGGTCAGACTGTACATAACAGTAGGAACTTCCTGACCTTTTAACATAGATTTGACATACTGTTCTTACTCATTTACATAGTCATTGTATTTCATACAGTGGGGAAAAAAAGCCACCAATTGTGCAAGTTCTCCCACTTAAAAAGATGAGAGAGGCCTGTAATTTTCATCATAGGTACACGTCAACTATGACAGACAAATTGAGAGAGAAAAAATCCAGAAAATCACATTGTAGGATTTTTAATGAATTTATTTGCAAATTATGGTGGAAAATAAGTATTTGGTCACCTACAAACAAGCAAGATGTCTGGCTCTCACAGACCTGTAACTTCTTCTTTAAGAGGCTCCTCTGTCCTCTACTTGTTACCTGTAATAATGGCACCTGTTTGAACTTGTCATCAGTATAAAAGACACCTGTCCACAACCTCAAACAGTCACACTCCAAACTCCACTATGGCCAAGACCAAAGAGCTGTCAAAGGACACCAGAAACAAAATTGTAGACCTACACCAGGCTGGGAAGACTGAATCTGCAATAGGTAAGCAGCTTGGTTTGAAGAAATCAACTGTGGGAGCAATTATTAGGAAATGGAAGACATACAAGACCACTGATAATCTCCCTCGATCTGGGGCTCCACGCAAGATCTCACCCCGTGGGGTCAAAATGATCACAAGGTGAGCAAAAATCCCAGAACCACACAGGGGGACCTAGTGAATGACCTGCAGAGAGCTGGGACCAAAGTAACAAAGCCTACCATCAGTAACACACTACGCCGCCAGGGACTCAAATCCTGCAGTGCCAGATGTGTCCCCCTGCTTAAGCCAGTACATGTCCAGGCCCGTCTGAAGTTTGCTAGAGTGCATTTGGATGATCCAGAAGAGGATTGGGAGAATGTCATATGGTCAGATGAAACCAAACCAACTTGTCGTGTTTGGAGGACAAAGAATGCTGAGTTGCATCCAAAGAACACCATACCTAGTGTGAAGCATTGGGGTGGAAACATCATGCTTTGGGGCTGTTTTTCTGCAAAGGGACCAGGACGACTGATCCGTGTAAAGGAAAGAATGAATGGGGCCATGTATCGTGAGATTTTGAGTGAAAACCTCCTTCCATCAGCAAGGGCATTGAAGATGAAACGTGGCTGGGTCTTTCAGCATGACAATGATCCCAAACACACCGCCCGGGCAACGAAGGAGTGGCTTCATAAGAAGCATTTCAAGGTCCTGGAGTGGCCTAGCCAGTCTCCAGATCTCAACCCCATAGAAAATCTTTGGAGGGAGTTGAAGTCCGTGTTGCCCAGCGAGAGCCCCAAAACATCACTGCTCTAGAGGAGATCTGCATGGAGGAATGGGCCAAAATACCAGCAACAGTGTGTGAAAACCTTGTGAAGACTTACAGAAGACGTTTGACCTGTGTCATTGCCAACAAAGGGTATACAACAAAGTATTGAGAAACTTTTGTTATTGACCAAATACTTATTTTCCACCATCATTTGCAAATAAATTCATTAAAAATCCTATAATGTGATTTTCTGGGGAAAAAAATCTCATTTTGTCTGTCATAATTGACGTGTACCTATGATGAAAATTACAAGCCTCTCTCATCTTTTTAAGTGGGAGAACTTGCACAATTGGTGGCTGACTAAATACTTTTTTTCCCCACTGTATATAGGAAGTCTGGGGTTTCATGACTTGACGTGATTCACAGCTGCTGGGTTCTGCTGCAGCTGCAACACCACTTAGTCAGGCCAGACACACACACACACACACACACACACAACACACAAACATGCACAGACACACGCACACACACACACGCACACACACACACACACAGACACACACACGCACACACACACACACAGACACACACACGCACACACACACACACGCACACACACACACACGACACACACACAGACACACACACACTCATGCACAGACACACAAACACACACACACGCACAGACACACACAAACACACACACACAGACACACAAACACACACAGACACACCCAGGAAAGGCCAGCTGTCTTCTAGATATCTCCCACCACATTCTCCTCACATTACCTCAGAGCAGAGAGTGTTAGAGACGGAGGACAGAGGGCCAACGTTGAGTCCAGTCCGGGCCAAGCACGTTTGCCTCTCGCTATTTGTGTCAGAACCCAGGACTCCCTGGAAAACAGTGGCAATTGTTGCTGTTACTGAGTGGACTACGCTGGCAGTAAATCAATTAAATTAAATGAAAATGTCTCCTCTCCAGGTGGTGAGTTTATGTGTCAGGCTGAGGTGACCTTCCTACCAGCCCAGGAGAAGCTGACCATCAAACAGGTCTTCAGTGGGATAGATGAGCATAATCACCTGGTGGTCAGCACCACACTGGAGGGACGTGTCCCCGAAGTCCTCCGAGGATCCACTGTCCAGATAGAGCCCTACTCAGAGATCTACCAGTACAGCTCCAACCGTAAGTCATTCCAACCTCTGACCCCCTAACCCCCTGGGACTATACCGTTCTAGCACGATGTAGCATGTTGCTTTCCATAAACAGGCTAGACTCCAGAAGGACTCTGTTTATTATAGACGTATCCTCCAGTCTCCTGGCGAAGTCCCAGCTACAGCTAGAAATACAGATAGAAATACTGCTACCAATTGTTGATTGGCTGAAAGGCGTGGTATATCAGACCGTATACCACGGGTATGACAACACTTTTATTTTCACTGTTTTAATTAAGTTGGTACCAGTTTATAATATCAATAAGGCACCTCAGGGGTTTGTGCTGTATGTTAAATATACCACGGCTAAGGGCTGTGTCCAGGCACTCCGTGTTGCGTTGTGCGGAAGAACAGCCCTTAGTCGTGGTATATTGGCCATATACCACCGCCCTTCGGGCCTCATTGCTTAAATATACAACCATGTTTGATAAAACTAGGCTCTGCATCCAATAGGATTCTAAACGCATTCTAAACAGGGTTCTAAAGGATTCTAACAGGTTCTAAACATAGAAGTAGATATCTATTCATAGGCTGCACCTCCGTCACCTGGTCGCGTCTGGTGTCTCTCCTCCTGTAGTGATCACATCTTCCTCTGAGCCCGGTGTCTCTCCTCCTGTAGTGATCACATCTTCCTCTGAGCCCGGTGTGCCTCTCCTCCTGTAGTGATCACATCTTCCTCTGAGCCGGTGTCTCCCTCCTGTATGATCACATCTTCCTCTGAGCCCGGTGTCTCTCCTCCTTAGTGATCACATCTCCCTGAGCCTGTGTCTCTCTCCTGTAGTGATCACATCTCCTCTGAGTCCTGGTGTTCTCCCTGTAGTGATCACATCTTCCTCACCTGGTGTCTCTCCTCCTTAGTGATCACATTTCCTCTGACCTGGTGTCTCTCCTCCTGTATGATCACATCTTCCTCTGAGCCTGGGTCTCTCCTCCTGTAGTGATCACATCTTCTCTGAGCCTGGTGTCTCCCTCCTGTATGTCACATCTCGCTAGTCTGGTGTCTCTCCTCCTGTAGTGATCACATCTTCCTCTGAGCCTGGTGTCTCTCCTCCTGTATGATCACATCTTCCTCTGAGCCGGTGTCTCTCCTCCTGTAGTGATCACATCTTCCTCTGAGCCTGGTGTCTCTCCTCCTGTAGTGATCACATCTTCCTCTGAGCCTGGTGTCTCTCCTCCTGTAGTGATCACATCTTCCTCTGAGCCTGGTGTCTCTCCTCCTGTAGTGATCACATCTTCCTCTGAGCCTGGTGTCTCTCCTCCTGTAGTGATCACATCTTCCTCTGAGCCTGGTGTCTCTCCTCCTGTAGTGATCACATCTTCCTCTGAGCCTGGTGTCTCTCCTCCTGTAGTGATCACATCTTCCTCTGAGCCTGGTGTCTCTCCTCCTGTAGTGATCACATCTTCCTCTATGCTGGACTATGTGGTTGAAGTTAAGACTGAGATCAATAGTTCTAGTGTTGCGTGTTAATGTCTGCCTCCTGTCCCCTCAGTGATCACGTCTTCCTCTACAAGGGATTACACTGTGAATCTGGATGATGGCTCTGCTGAGACCAGGACGTACCAGTGGAGACAGTCCATCACCTTCCAGAGCTGTCCACATGACGAGGCTGCCAGGGCCATACTGCCCACACAGGTGCACACTAATCAATCAATCAATCAATCATACAAGACTGATTGAATTACAAACCACTGCCACTGTGCCCAAGACACTTAGCAAGGACAAAGTGCATCCATCCAAAGGAGCTTTACCACAGCGGACCCTGAGTGTGTGTAAGTTCTAACCAAGTGTGTTAATACATCATGTCTCCTACAGATGCTGAGCGTGGACCAGGTGTTTGTGATGTACGACTCCAACAACGAGCTGATCCGATACGCCATGAGCAACAAGATCGGCGACATCAAAGGTGAGGTCACTTCCTGTCTGAGGTTATTCCTGTCTCTCTGATTGGTCTGATTTCACTTCCTTCCTGCTTAGACCGATTCCTCCTGCCCTAATTGACACATCTTTCTGTTAGTCTTATTTTGTCTTATTTGAAGACGTTTTCTAGTCGTAGTCATTTCCTCCATCCTGTTCTAGACGGATCCTCCTAACTGAGAGCCCTCATTTAGCAGACGCTCTTATCCAGTGCGACTTACAGTTATTGAGTGCACACATTATTTAATTTTTTTTATACTGTCCCCCCGTGGGAATCGAACCCACAACCCTGGCGTTGCAAACGCCATGCTCTACCAACTGAGCTACATCCCTGCCGGCCATTCCCTCCCCTACCCTGGACGACGCTGGGCCAATTGTGCGCCGCCCCATGGGTCTCCCGGTCACGGCCGGCTACGACAGAGCCTGGATTCGAACCAGGATCTCTAGTGGCACAGCTAGCAGTGCGATGCAGCGCCTTAGACCACTGCGCCACTCGGGAGGCCATATAGTTTAGTTTGGCCGATGGTTTCTAGTAGTATCAGTTTTGGAGTTGTAGCAACAACCTACAATACAATATGAAACATTGTCTAAATGTGTGATAATGCAGTTCTTAATTACATTGATAATGTGATATTAAACCAGCACTTCCCAAAACTCGGTCCTAATCATATTTTGCCCTAGCACTACACACATCAGTGTGCACCCCTCGGGGATGGGAGAGTTTGGGAAAAGCTGTATTAAACTCAACTGGTTGTGTTTCTGTCCAGGAGGCCAGCAGGAAGAAGAGAATCCCTGTTTCACTGGGAGACACGGCTGTGACACCAACGCTGTCTGTAGACCCGAACAGGGGACAGAGTTCACCTGCCACTGTGCTGCGGGATTCACAGGAGACGGACGCTCCTGTTATGGTATGTTATGGGGACTGCGTGTAATGGTACGCCTGTCTGGAGTACTCATACTACACAGCCAGAGAGCTGTTCAGTACCAGATCTGAACAATTACATCATTTAACAGCATCATTTGGTGGTTAAATGAAGCTCTAGTCAGTATTTTGCATTCCAGGCAGGGAAGGGAAAAACATTTATCTAATGCTCCATGACCTATTACAGTGTCCTCATTACCACGTACAGGTATGCTGTACTGTACTGTACTCTCTATACTCTGTACTGTACTCTCTATACTCTGTACTCTCTATACTCTGTACTCTCTATACTCTGTACTCTGTACTGTACTCTCTATACTCTGTACTCTCTATACTCTGTACTCTCTATACTCTGTACTCTGTACTGTACTCTCTATACTCTGTACTGTGCTGTACTCTGTACTCTGTACTGTACTCTCTATACTCTGTACTGTGCTGTACTCTGTACTCTGTACTGTACTCTCTATACTCTGTACTCTCTATACTCTGTACTCTGTACTGTACTCTGTACTGTACTGACTCTGTACTATGTGCTGTACTCTGCTGTACTCTGTACTGTACTGACTCTGTACTATGTGCTGTACTCTGCTGTACTCTGTACTCTTCTGTACTCTGTACTCTTCTGTACTCTGTACTCTTCTGTACTCTGTACTCTGCTGTACTCTGTACTGTACTCTGCTGTACTCTGTACTCTTCTGTACTCTGTACTCTTCTGTACTCTGTACTCTGCTGTACTCTGTACTCTTCTGTACTCTGTACTCTGCTGTACTCTGTACTCTGCTGTACTCTGTACTGTACTCTGCTGTACTCTTCTGTACTCTGCTGTACTCTGTACTCTGCTGTACTCTGTACTCTTCTGTACTCTGTACTCTGCTGTACTCTGTACTGTACTCTGCTGTACTCTGTACTGTACTCTGCTGTACTCTGTACTGTACTCTGCTGTACTCTGTACTCTGGACTGTGAAGTCCTGGTTGAGAGCCCATCCTGTAAACAAATCCTGTCCGTTCACTCTCTGACTCCCAGACCAAACAGTCAATCAGAGGTTCATTAGAGGACCATTTCCACCCTAGTCCCTAGTCCCTCCCTTCATATCTCAGGGTTTCAGGGCTCATTTCAGAGTACATAAACAATATGATCTACAGTCCACTTCCCCAGGGAGGAAGAAAGGAATAGCCCCTTCACATAGAGAGGGGGGTTTCTATTTTGGGCTTGGAGCTGGGTTAGGAAATGGTGTTGTCTTTGGAGTTGGGACAGTCTTGGGACAGGTTTGGGAGAGGGGAGGAACAGTTTTAGGACGACAGTAAAGGAAGTGCTCTCGGGCACACAGAGGTTAAGATGAGGACCCTTGTCCCTAGTCACTAGTCCACATAGAGAGGAGTTCTTATTTTGTCTTGGGACAGGCTTGGGGTGGGGTTGGGGAGAGGTTGGGACGGGTAGGAACAGTTTTGGAATGAGGGGAAAGGAAGTGCTCTTAGCCACTGAAAGAAAAGGAAGGATGTTTGACAGACACAGGAAACTGTATCTCTAAACACATTTAGTCATAAGGAAACCGGTCTGATTCAGTCACAGTCCAACCAGTGAACTACAGTCCCACTGCTATCCAGATACTCTACAGAACACCGAAAAACCTTCCAACATATTGGACTGGTCCAACGGTGACTGGTCCAACGGTGACTGGTCCAACGGTGACTGGTCCAACGGTGACTGGTCCAACGGTGACTGGTCCAACGGTGACTGGTCTAATATGTTCCTGAAGTATTTTGCTGTGCATCCTGGGATTTTGGGTTTGGTGGCACACTTAGAAAAATATTCCCCCAGACGATACATTGATCGATAGCCCCACAGGTTCATTGTCATGTTTACAGGTAATAACTTGTAAGTAACCTGCAGTTTTTAAATCGACATACCGTCGACATTTAGTGTTTAGTGTCCAGCGCTCCGGTGTTGCTGTTACTTTTCTATCATATTTGAGTGGTGAGCAAAGTCGATACGAACCCCTCAGATCTGAACAGACTGACTCAGGTTTCTGTTTGTCTCCATGTGTTCCTGTCAGATATTGATGAGTGTAGAGAGACGCCCCAGACCTGTGGAGAACACTCAGTCTGCAACAACCAGCCCGGAACCTTCCGCTGTGAGTGTAATGATGGATACCAGTTCGCTAGCGACGGGTACACCTGCATAGGTACGCTCTCTCTCTCTCTCTCTGTCCCTCTCCCTCTCTGTCCCCTTCGCTCCTATGGTCACAGCACTACTCTATCTTGTCTATCTCTCTCTCATCTGTCCCCATCGTATGATTCTCTCTCTCTTGTCACCCTTCATCTCTGCTTCATGCCTCTTCTGGCTCATGCGTGTACACACCGCACATCTCTATTGCAAATCTCTCCTATCTGTAGGACCTCGGTGTTCGTCTCGTCTTCTATGTACATCATCTGTACACTGTCGATCAGTTATATCTACTACCTCGACTCTGGAAAACACACATCATTCATCTTGGTCGTTCGTTCTTTCCTTACTTGCCCTTATAGACTTGCCATCACTCATGACCTCAATCATATTTCCTGTCCCCCTACTCTTTCTCTCTCTGCTCTTGCCCCCTCCTCTCTTCTCTCTCTCTCTCTGTCCCCCCCTCTCTCTCTCTCGACCTCTCTGTCCCTCTCTACATTTATTTTCTCTCTTCGCTTGACCCCTCTCTTGCTTTCTTCTCTCTGTCCCCCACTCTCTTTTTCTCTTCTCTCTTGCTCTGCCCCCTCTTTCTCTCTCTCTGTCCCCCTCTCTTTCTCTCTCTCTCTCTCTCTTTCTCTATGGTCCCCCACTCCCCTCTCCCCCTCTGTCCCCCCTCCCCTCTCCCCCTCTCTCTCTCTCTCTCTCTCTGTGTGTCTTCTGGCAGTTTTTTATTCTGGGGATAAACACTAAACACTGCCATATAAGGGAAATACAAACAGAACAGATGAGAGTCTAGTATGTCTGCTCATTTCTCAGCAACAGACAGATATTGTTGTATTTACCCATACACAAAAAATGTATACACGCATGACTGTAAGTCGCTTTGGATAAAAGCGTCTGCTAAATGGCATATTACATTATTACATTACACAGGCAGCCCAATTCAGATTATAATTTTTCTTCAGGAATTGGTCTTTTGACCAATCAGATCATCTCTTTTGTGTCAGCCTGTGTCCTATTGGTTAATCTGAAGTATTTCCTGTCTTGATGACGACACCCCTATCCTTTCCAGGAGTTGATTGATTCACTGATTTATTGATAGATTGATTGACTGACTGACTGACTTGCTGATGATGATGATGATGATGATTCTCCAGGAGTGGACCGTCCTGTGGACCACTGCGCGGCCGGAAGCCATGACTGCGACGTCCCGGAGCGTGCCCGATGTAGCTACAGTGGGGGATCCTCCTATGTCTGCTCCTGTTTGCCCGGGTTCCAGGGACGCGGACGGGTCTGCCAAGGTAACGGCGTGACTGTGCACTTCTGTGTAACAGATGTGATCGTACTTTGTAACTCTTGCGTTGGTGTTTTTAAAAGAAAGGAGTGTCCAGCCATCGATCCCAGTTGATCGGTGTTTATTCTAGCGCATTTAGATGTGCAGGACAACAGTGTGTTGATGAATGTAGATTCATGATTCGTCTGTTAGCATGGAAATAACTGAATTAGCAGGGAGCTAATGTGACCCTTACAATTAGAACATGCTAGCTAACTCGTTCTTACAGCAATAACATACAAAAGCACATCCCAGGATGCCCCCAATATCTACCAGGTACCGTACACACACACACACACACATATATATATATATATATATATATATATATACACACACACATACATACATACATACACACACACACACACACACACACACAGTGCATTCGGGAAAGTATTCAGACCCCTTCACTTTTTCCACATTTTGTTACATCAAATCAAATTTTATTTGTCACATACACGTGTTTAGCAGATGTTATTGTGGGTGTAGCGAAATGCTTGTGCTTCTAGCGCCAACAGTGCAGTAATATCTAACAAGTAATATCTAACAATTTCACAACATATACCCAAATCTAAGTAAGGAATGAATTAAGAATATATACATATATGGACGAGCGATGTCAGAGCGGCATGGACTAAGATACAGTAGAATAGTATAGAATACAGTATATACATATGAGATGAGTAATGCAGATATGTAAACATTATTAAAGTGACTAAGATACCGTAGAATAGTACAGAATACATTACAGCCTTACTCTAAAACTGATTAAAAAATATATATAATTCTCATCAATCACACAATACCCCATAATGACAAAGCAAAAACAGGTTTTTAGAAATGTTGCACATTAACATAAGTATTCAGACCCTTTACTCAGTACTTTGTTGAAGCACCTTTGGCAGCGATTACAGCCTCGAGTCTTCTTGGGTATGATGCTACAAGCTTGGCACACCTGTATTTGGGGAGTTTCTCCCATTCTTCTCTGCAAATCCTCTCAAGCTCTGTCAGGTTGGATGGGGAGCGTCACTCCACAGTTTTTTCAGGTCTTTCCAGAGATGTTCGATTGGGTTCAAGTCCGGGCTCTGGCTGGGCCACTCAAGGACATTCAGAGACTTGTCCCATAGACACTCCTGTGTTGTCTTGGCTGTGTGCTTAGGGTTGTTGTCCTGTTGGAAGGTGAACCTTCACCCCAGTCTGAGGTCCTGAGTGCTCTGGAGCAGGTTTTCATCAAGGATCTCTCTGTACTTTGCTCCATTCATCTCTCCCTCGATCCTGACTAGTCTCCCAGTCCCTGCCGCTGAAAAACACCCCCACCATGCTTCACCCTCGGGATGGTGGCAGGTTTCCTCCAGACGTGACGCTTGGCATTCAGGCCAAAGAGTTCAATCTTGGTTTCATCAGACCAGAGAATCTAGTTTATTATGGTATGAGAGTCTTTAGGTGCCTTTTGGCAAACTCCAAGGGGGCTGTCATGTGCCTTTTACTGAGGAGTGGCTTCCGTCTGGCCACTTTACCATAAAGGCCTGATTGGTGGAGTGCTGCAGAGATGGTTGTCCTTCTGGAAGGTTCTCCCATCTCCACAGAGGAACTCTGTCAGAGTGACCATCGGGTTCTTGGTCACCTCCCTGACCAAGGCCCTTCTCCCCCGATTGTTCAGTTTGGCCGGGCGGCCAGCTCAAGGAAGAGTCTTGGTGGTTCCAAACTTCTTCCATTTAAGAATGATGGAGGCCACTGTGTTCTTGGGGATCTTCAATTATGCAGAAATATTTTTTTTACCCTTCCCCTGATCTGTGCCTTGACACAATCCTGTCTCGGAGCTCTACGGACAATTCCTTTGGTTTTTGCTCTGACATGCACTGTCAACTGTTGGAACTTATATAGACAGGTGTGTGCCTTTCCAAATCATGTCCAATCAATTTAATTTACCACAGATGGACTCCAATCAAGTTGTAGAAACATCTCAAGGGTTATCAATGGAAACAGGATGCACCTGAGCTCAATTGAGTCTCATAGCAAAGAGTCTGAATACTTATGTAAATAAGGTATTTCTGTTTTTAAATTTGTTATATATTTGCAATAATGTAAAAAAATATATACCTGTTTTCGCTTTGTCATTTTGGTGTATTGTGTAGGTAGATTAAAATAAAATCAATTTTAGAAATAAAACATTTGATTTAATCAATTTTATAATAAGTCTGAAACATAACAAAATATGGAAAAGGTCAAGAGGTCTGAATACTTTCCGAATGCACTGTATCTAACAGTATATCTAACAGTACTAACAGTATATCTAACAGTACTAACAGTATATCTAACAGTACTAGCAGCATATCTAACAGTACTAGCAGTATATCTAACAGTACTAGCAGTATATCTAACAGTACTAGCAGTATATCTAACAGTACTAGCAGTATATCTAACAGTACTAGCAGTATATCTAACAGTACTAGCAGTATATCTAACGGTGTATCTAGCAGTATATCTAACAGTACTAGCAGTATATCTAACAGTACTAGCAGTATATCTAACAGTACTAGCAGCATATCTAACAGTACTAGCAGTATATCTAACGGTGTATCTAGCAGTATATCTAACAGTACTAGCAGTATATCTAACAGTACTAGCAGTATATCTAACAGTACTAGCAGTATATCTAACAGTACTAGCAGTATATCTAACAGTACTAGCAGTATATCTAACAGTACTAGCAGTATATCTAACAGTACTAGCAGCATATCTAACAGTACTAGCAGCATATCTAACAGTACTAGCAGTATATCTAACAGTACTAGCAGTATATCTAACAGTACTAGCAGTATATCTAACAGTACTAGCAGTATATCTAACAGTACTAGCAGTATATCTAACAGTACTAGCAGTATATCTAACAGTACTAGCAGTATATCTAACAGTACTAGCAGTATATCTAACAGTACTAGCAGTATATCTAACAGTGTATCAACAGTATTCAGGGCCTTCAGAAAGTATTCATACCCCTCCACTTATTCCACATGTTGTTGTTACAGCCTGAATTCAAAATTGATTAAATAAATATTTTTCTCACCCATCTACACAGAATACCCCATAATGACAAAGTGAAAACATGTTTGTAGAAATGTTAGCAAATCTATTGAAAATTAAATACAGAAATATACATTTACATAATGATTCACCCCCCGAGTCAATGCATGTTAGAATCAACTTTGGCAGCTGTGAGTCTAATTTATTTTTTACTTGTTTATTTTTTTAGGGGGTAGATCAGCTTTAATACTGCAGATAGATTGTAGCTTGCATCAATGTAATTGTCTGCATCATTTCCTATCCCCCATATATTTTTGGGAAATATATATTATTTTAAATATATTTTCCTTTATTATTTTCCCCTAACCCTAATTGGAGTAAACTAATGGACTTAGGCTTCTACTTCCAGCTTATACATACTATATACATTTTATGGACACAATGTATTTTATAATAGCTCTCTTTTTGTTTGTTTTTAATCCCAGCAATCAGCTACCATCAACCCCTCCCATCTATCTCTGAAGACCATCCAGTTTGATATATCTTTGCCATATATTTTTAACTGTGCTGTTTCACAACAGTTCTGAACCTATATACATTTTACTGTCACAGTATATTTGACATTAGTTATCTTGTTGTTTTTAGTCCCACCCTTCAGCTCCACTCAACCCCTCCCATCTATCTCTTAACACATTCAATTTTTTACTTCTATTTACCATACATTTTTCAACTGTGCTGTGATGTTTAAAAAAAAAAGTTATGTTCTCATAGTTTCTACAGATTGTAAATTAAAGATACACATTTTGCTAAATGTATTATTATATTATTGATCGATTGACGGTGAGTTTTCAAATAACCCAGCAGTGCTATTTTCAGAGTTAGCGCTAGGTAAATGTTGCAATTCCACAGCCATTCTTGGACCTGTGACCAAAAACTACATAAGGACAATATCAAAACAAAATTATCTAATGATTCTGTCTCTTCGCAGCAAAATCTGCAGAGCTGGGATAGTTGTATCCCCCACAGTACCAGTCAAAAGTTTGGACACCTACTCATTCAAGGGTTTTTCTTTATTTCTACATTGTAGAATAATAGTGAAGACATCAAAACTATGAAATAACACATATGGAATCATGTAGTAAGCAAGAAAGTGTTAAACATATCAAAATATATTTGAGATTTGAGATTCTTCAAATAGCCACGCTTTGCCTTGATGACAGCTTTGCACGCTTGGCATTCTCTCAACCAAATTGAACAATACTAAAGTTGCAATCAACTTTCTATGGCTTGTTTAAAAATAGCAATATTTTGGAGATCATTTCATTTTCAAATAACCGAAGTAGTGAGAGGTTGTAATCCAAATAAAGGGTAAATGGCCATTCTTGAACATGGGGTGAGACATTCTTACATTCTGCAAGAGAACCAGTTCAGATTTAAGTATAATTTTTGAATGACTGAAGCCTTTAGTGAGAGGTCTAATGCTTTAATATTTAATCATTTCTGCCCTCCAAATTCATATTCATTATATAAATAGGACCTTTTAATTTTGTCTGGCTTGCCGTTCCAAATAAAATGGAATATGTTTTTGCAGGTCGCTGGGTGCAGGCAAGGTCATAAGCAAATAGGTCAACTGGGATATGACTAAAGAGTTAAATCAGGGTGATTTCTCTACAAATAGATGGGTAATTTACTTTCCATGGTAGCAATATCTAATCTATTTTTGCTAACGTTCTATTAAAATGTATTGTAGTGAGATCATTTCTTCATTTGGGATATGAATACCGAGTATGTCCACTTCCCCATCAGACCATTTTATTGGTAAACTACACGGTAATGTAAAAGTTTTATTTTTTAGTGATCCAATACGTAATATAGTACACTTATCATAATTTGGTTGTAATCCAGAGGTT